GGTGATCGCTCTGGAAAAAACGAAACAGAGGCTATCTACGGAAGTGGAGGATCTCCAGATCGAAGTGGATCGTGCTACGGCGATCGCGAACGCGGCGGAAAAGAAACAGAAGGCCTTCGACAAAATCATCGGCGAATGGAAGCTCAAGGTGGATGATCTTGCTGCTGAATTGGACGCCAGCCAGAAGGAATGCCGCAACTACAGCACGGAACTCTTCCGACTCAGAGGTAATATACCCTTTCTTGAATTTTCTTGAAAACATCACTTATTGCTCAAGATAACGTACTATATACCATTGTACGTTAAACGTAAATATCATTAACGTTTATTTGTTATTTTAATCAGGTGCCTACGAGGAAGGCCAGGAACAACTGGAAGCAGTACGTCGCGAGAACAAGAATCTCGCCGACGAGGTGAAAGATCTGTTGGACCAGATCGGCGAAGGTGGACGCAACATTCACGAGATCGAGAAGGCCAGGAAGCGATTGGAGGCTGAAAAGGATGAACTCCAAGCTGCCCTCGAGGAGGCTGAAGCTGCTCTAGAGCAAGAAGAGAACAAAGTGCTTCGCAGCCAGCTCGAACTCAGCCAAGTCAGACAAGAGATCGACCGACGAATCCAGGAGAAGGAAGAGGAATTCGAAAACACCAGAAAGAACCATCAACGTGCTCTCGACTCCATGCAGGCATCGCTCGAGGCCGAAGCTAAGGTCAGTTGAAAATTGCTTCTTAAAGAAATTACAATTAGACGAGTGAAGGATTCTAACTACGAGTTTAACCGAATGTTACAGGGCAAAGCTGAAGCTCTGCGTATGAAGAAGAAGCTCGAGGCTGACATCAACGAGCTCGAGATCGCTTTGGACCACGCGAACAAGGCGAACGCTGAAGCCCAGAAGAACATCAAGAGATACCAACAACAACTGAAGGACGTACAAACCGCGCTCGAGGAGGAACAGCGAGCACGCGACGAGGCGAGGGAACTGCTCGGAATCTCCGAACGCAGAGCGAACGCTCTTCAGAATGAACTGGAAGAGAGCCGTACTCTTCTCGAACAAGCGGACCGCGGACGTCGCCAGGCTGAACAAGAGTTGGCCGATTGCCACGAACAGCTCAACGAGCTCAGCGCTCAGAACGCTTCCATCTCCGCTGCCAAGAGGAAACTCGAAGCTGAACTCCAGACACTTCACGTGAGTATTCCTACCTTCTTCTTCTTCGACCGTTTCAGATTACAAATAAATGATATATTTTCAATATCGTTGAATCTTTCCAGTCTGATCTGGACGAACTGTTGAACGAAGCCAAGAATTCTGAAGAGAAGGCGAAGAAAGCGATGGTCGATGCCGCTAGATTAGCCGACGAACTCCGAGCTGAACAAGATCACGCTCAGACCCAAGAGAAACTGCGCAAGGCTCTCGAGACTCAAATCAAGGAGCTCCAGGTACGTCTAGACGAGGCTGAGGCCAACGCTCTGAAGGGTGGCAAGAAGGCTATCCAGAAATTGGAACAACGCGTCCGTGAATTGGAGAACGAACTCGATGGAGAACAGAGGAGACACGCTGACGCACAGAAGAACCTCCGCAAATCCGAACGCCGCATCAAGGAACTTAGCTTCCAGGTATAAGATCCTCTTCAAATTTCCTTCTTATCGATTGCTTCCAGTTCAGATTCTATTTTAAACGTAAACAAAAATTGCTCGTTTAGGCGGACGAAGACCGCAAGAACCACGAACGCATGCAGGACCTCGTTGACAAGCTCCAACAGAAGATTAAGACGTACAAGAGGCAGATCGAGGAGGCCGAAGAGATCGCTGCTTTGAATCTCGCCAAATTCCGCAAAGCTCAACAAGAACTTGAGGAAGCAGAAGAAAGGGCAGATCTCGCTGAACAGGCAATCACCAAGTTCCGTACCAAGGGACGCGGAGGAAGTGCCGCGCGTGGATTGAGCCCAGCGGTAAGCATCCGATAAATCGATACACTGATTCATCTATTACAGGTTCGAGATCGAATCTCTGCTCCGGTACAATTTTTTTTTTTTCTTATTTCTTTTTCGTACTTTCTTCTTGTAACATCATGAAAATCTTTCGATAAAAATTCGTAGAAACGCTGTATGTAATAGGGATCCAAGCGACATACGGTCAGCTAATATTCCTTGGGTATTGGCTCGAGTATCACCAAAGATTTTAAAATACATTAGAATTGAAAAAAGACTGAAATTTATAATAATATTTATGAAAAATGGACAACGATTATTTCCAAGTTTTTCAAAATTTCATATACTTCTCTGATAAAAAGAAATATAACGAAAGAAGGCGTAGGTGTTGGAAAAGTTATCTCTCCTTCGAGCCTACGAAATTAAGGTCACACCTTATTTTAAAGCCCTTGGAGTGAAAAGTGAAAAGAGTACAGGGGATGTCGAATCGAACGATGAAATCCCGCAGAAAGCATTCTGGCATTAAAGTACTATTTCTAATTCTGAATCTGTATGTCCCTGTATAGCCCCAACAGAAGGCCCGTAAGGCGCCCTCCGCAATGGAGTAAACAGCACCGCGCCGGTCCATGTAAGTTTCAGCACGTGTTCAGAAGCACGTGTGTGTGTTGTCAAAAAAGAGAGAACAATAGTCACAATAATCGCAACAGAACAATTTCACGCAAACAGAATTGTTCCATTGTACAGTGTGTTCGAAGGAAGCGTTCAGAAATGATCTTAATCGTGAACCTTTCATTTCCGACACTCTGTATATCACAACCCCTATTCCACCGATCGCCAGTGTCTCATTTTTTGTACCCGTGTGAACAGCTGATAACACATCTTGGGTGCATACTTCACACGAGTATGAGCTTGGACCTCGTCATTAATTAACGTTGTGACCTATCACCTATCCCAATTACGTACTCGTTAGTTCACGATAGTTCAACAGATCACCGTAGATCCCTCTGTATAGAAGTTAGATCGATGATTGCTTGGTTAGCGATTAGAGATATGCGTAACATAGATACCTGTACTCGTGCATACTGTATCTCTTTTTCTATATGTATTTTTAACTCAAACAATTGTAAGTACAATTATTGGGTATAATTGTCATTCGCTCATTATAATTCGTCAAACCTTCACGTACACACCAAGGAAAACTGAAGAAATCTGTTAAAACTTTGTTAGAGAGGTATCAAGACCCTCGGTTCCTATTTTTTGTTTTCTTTTTTCCAATTTCAACGCCAATATCATCTGCGATGGATGTGCAAACGGAGTACAAAGAACACAGAGAACGTGTCTCTCGATTCCCATAAATGTCTTTGTTTAATTGTCAAGCGGATCCTTCGTAAGGATGGGATTAAGAATCGTTCCATATGAGCTGGTAGTTTTATAAATCAAAAAGAACTTGATCCCATCGCTAACAAATATGTTTTTTCCTCGTTCTAAAGAAAAAAAAAAAAAAAAAAAAAAGAAACAGTTGAATCCTCGTCGAGGGTTAGATATTCCTTCTATTATTTCATAATAATGCAAGGTCATTGTATGCTCGCAAGAGCGATCTATACACAGGTCATACGATTCTTAAGCTTTCGAACAACTCGAGCTATGATTAATTTTTAAGGGATGAAATTAATAACGGTTTTGTTCGTTTTTTCAGCCACATCGACCTGCGTTCAGACCCCAATTGGATGGTTCCGCATTCCCGCCACGCTTCGACCTGCAGCCCGATGGTGAACTGTAAAAATCTCTGACTACCACCGTAACCCGTTTAGACACTTGATCGTTACAGCTTGACAAACGAAAGAATCGTTCGCAACACCGGCGGCAACTTTCATCGTGTCATCTCACCGAATAGCTCATCCCTTCATCTTCGTATCTACACGCATACACCTACACATGTCTATACATACACAACACAGAGAGACGTATAACACATCATCGCTTCGTTCGAGCGATCAAAGTATTCAAACAGACCTTCAACGTTTACGTCAACCAACGACACGAGAATGTCCGTGCTTGGTCACCCTGCCAGTTTCCAAATAAAAATGAAATTAACGAAAATATGATAATGGAAAGAATTTTGAAAATTTCACTCTTATTCTTTAATCTCAAGCGTTGTGTAACATTCGTCAAATTTATGGGGATAGGGATATTTAATAATGAGTAATTAATAATTAACGATATTCACCACTCGCGCTGACGGTCGAGGAAAGAGAGAGTGATAGATAGAATGATAGTGGGAGAGCAAGAGAGAAATCGAGAGAAAGGAAAGATGCGAGCGGTCGAAATGGGCGAGCCAGCAAAGAAATTTTCAAAGGTTCTATTAATTGAACACGTGGCAGATAGGAATATATGTGCATACTGGCATACGCGCGTATCAAGCGGACGAATCGATAATAATACGAGAAAAATATTAAAAATAAATAAAAAAAAAAAGCACAAAAACAAGAAAAAAAAAATGAAACGATAATACATGTTGTGAAAGAAATACAGAACGATAATAATAGGAGAAGGAGATTACACGTAATAGAGAGGACGAGACATTTTCAAAAATAGTAGTCGTGGATTTGAACGGCGTCGCGCATTATTATGTATGTCATCCAAATGATAATCCTACCCTATAAACTTAATTGTAATTTATAAAGTAATATGTATTTATTAAAATAAATAAGCAATAAATAAAATTAAGAACTGAACGTGGTGTTTGTTATTTACTGTCTGTGTGTAATTCCTACTGTAAAAACCCGAAGTGTATTTATTGCAACCTTACTTAAGTAAATGAAAGTTTACTTACTTTGAAACGGAGAAGACTGTCACACAGCCAAAGCAGTCGCTCCGACTGCTATGATACTACTGAGCTTTCGAGCGGTGTGATAACAATAAGATGGCGGCGCTTGGTTCAGATTCGGAAGTGCTGATTGGCGGGAAAGACGAGGAAGAGACTGGAAGGCGCTATTCAAAGATCAAATTCGATCAAATTCTTCTTTTATTGAATTTTCATAATATTTCATTAAGAATAAACTGTTAAATATAACATAATACATATTTCATATTCCTTTTTAACAGCTGCATTTTTTTCTGAACCCGTCAGTCTTATTTTTATTTCACACAACTCAAAACAAGTAAGGAAATTACAGAAAACTACATCTACACCTAAATCATCTTCAATACTTGCATCGATCGTTGCTTTAAACGTAATTGCTGCTTCGTTCTATTTATTTATATATTTATCTGTAATTCTTTTTAATTTCTTTACGCGACAACTGCTGAAATTGTCCTTTAACCAGCTCCCACTGGCTAAACTTATCTGTGCTGATTCCAAATTCCTTACAAGTTTCTTCGAACGCTTTTACACATAAAGGTAAATAACAATGATCGACAGTTGGTAATAGATGGTGCAGACCGTGTAAACCGAAATTGGTCAACACCAAAAAATTGGAATCGTCGATCACCTTACGTTCTCTCACCGCGTCCAATTCCAACAAACCCCAATCAAGATCGTCCCTAAAAATATCATTCGTTTGTTATACTTAATTTGCATTATTAGTTGTCACTATACAAACAACCATATATCTTGTATAATATTATACAGGGTGTTCGACAACAGGTGGGAAAAATTTTAAGGAATGATTCTAGGAATCAAAATAAGACAAAAATCAAGAATAACGAAATAGCGTTTACGGCTTTGTTTTCGAGCGCCTGAAACCTGCAATCCGCCCAGCACCGACGACTGAACGTCTGGTCAGCAGGGGAAGGTACAGTCATAACCAAGAATCGAAGCCGAATGCTGCAGTACCGAGAAACAGAATAGCACGAGGTAAATTTCTACTATTCAACGATTCTTGGTTATGACTGTACCTTCCCCTGCTGACCTGACGTGAAGTCGTCGGTGCTGGACGGATTGCAGGTTTCAGGCGCTTTTTACTCGAAGTTTTAAACGTTAATTACAGGAAAACAAAACCGCAAACGCTATTTCGTTATTCTTGATTTTCCTCTTATTTTAATCCCTAGAATCACCCCTTAAAATTTTTCCCACCTGTTGTCGAACATCCTGTATAAAATATTGAAGGCTTTGAAAATTTATATTTTCATCTAATGCTTACATTGAAAGAGCCGTAAATTTCTTATTCGACGATATTACGAATATTTGAATATCTACGAACCTGTATACATCACCATCGTGGAAAATATCGGGATGATGATGCGCCGCATTAAAACCAATCATAGAGAATATAAAACTGCTGGTCATAATGATTAAAAACCAGAATTTCAAAGCTGTTAAATAGTTTGGGGCAAAGAATACCATCGTTAGTGGAAGGAAGAAAGGTACAGCGTCCCGGAATTCGAATTTCCTATATTGAAAGAATACCGAGTAATATCTGAAACAAATATAATCCCATTAGTACTGATAAAGATAGAGAATTATTGGATCAGCTTGCATTCATCCTATGACTTCCTCTTTTCTGTCTGTTAACGGAGAGGCCTAGGGTCACAAAATTAGTCTCAAATTACTCGTGAGAGATCGAAAATCTATCGATAACCGGAAGTCACATGACACAATAATTTTTTTTATTTAACCGAATCGATACAGCAAATGTAAAGCAAAGTTGTAGAGGACGTCAAGAAAATGCTGGAACACTTTCGTTGGCCGAAAAATTCCAAGTCTTGATCTACTTACAACGATTTTTTCAAGCTCAACCTTTGTAAGATATATCTTACAGAATTGTGTATGTACATTACGTACAACGTGAGTCACATATAATGTTATAGAAAATGTTAATAAAATTAATTTTAAGATAAAATACGTCTGTTTTAATTCTCCTTGAACGCCTCTGCGTATTCGCTCCTTCAATATTCCCTTTGCCATAAATCGTTAACTATTAGGAATATAAAAAATTGTTGGAGTAAATGTTATCCGGTTTGATAAAAGCTATTTAAATAAAAAAAAATTAGTATAGCACCCTGTTTAAAAAAGACGACGTAAATCTATTCTGACTCCATGGTAGCTATTTTAGAAAAATTTTGTATACACTACATAATCAGGCTCTTCGTACCATTTAATTAAAAACAAGAATTAGCTCGACAGCTGCTATAGTTTTCGAGATAATAGTTTGTAACACTTTATCTGACTCACCCTGTATATTAAACAATGCATTTATGAGTAGCTAGTTTAAAAAATAATGTTAAATAATATTGTAAATTAAAAAGATGATTGAAAACCTTTTCACTGCTTGCTCGATAAACGTAAAAGCCCAGAATATAGGGCTTATAAGTTGACTCAGGAAACTGTTAAGCATGGTTTTCCTTTTGTCTGGTAGCCACTGAAGGAAAGGTTCAGCCGTATAAACTTCAAAATCCCAAAGGGTATTTGGATAAGTGTGATGGCTCATCACGTGCGTTACCCGCCAGTCCTTTGAGGACATTGTACTCAGATCAAGATAGTACATTCGGAAATTATCTCTCATGTGAACGTAATTGTGAGCTGCTATTGTGGTCCACGCGTGGAAAATCGCTGAAAGGTAAATATTAAAACGTTTCAATTCTCAGTGGAAAACATAGAAAAATAGTGTGTAAAATAAGAAATGGGACGATCGTATGTAATTATAAAATGTAAAAATAAAATTATGTTTGACTAACCAGCGAAAACGATGATCAAATATGATTGCTTGGAAACTGCTGCGAGACTGAGAGTGATAGCTGTCATAGCGAGAAGATCAGCAATGAGGTTTGTCTTCTTCGATGGCCGATGAAAATCGACGTTTTTCAACGCTTCCACCGCGCGTTTCTTAAAAGTGCAGAAAAATCCATTCGGTTCGAACGTTAATGGCACCGATCGTGGTGTAACTGCCTCCTTCACGAAATACTTAGGGAGGATATTACTAGCCTTGTCCGTCAAATGATGCGACTGCGGATAGAAATATCTTTAAAATAACTTTTCAAAGTATTAAAGTTTTAATTCTCTAAATGATCTACTGATAAATAAATGATCCATAGTAAATGTGGTAGGATTACTTCGAAAATCTCTGTAATATCAGTGCCTTTGGTGAGGCGGATCCATTCTTCTCCTCCTGGATGAATTCTGGCAAAACCTTCCAAATCGTACAAACTGTTTCTGACTCTCCAGAGGTCTTCCGCGCCGTCTACTTGTCTTCTTCCTTTGAGGAAAGTATATGCAGTTTTCAGTCGGTCATTTCTCCCAGGAAGTGGTCCGAGTCCTGGTATCGAACTTTCCACTTTTTCCATAGTATAATTTTACTGAAAAAATATTCTCATGAAAATTAATGAAATCCTCGATCATAATTTGTCTCTTTTTGAATAACTATTACATAAAAATTATAATGAAAAAAAAAAAAAAAAAAAAAAAACGGGAAACCAGAATTTGAACCGAGGACCTTTAGATTACGAGTCATGTGTTTAACCACGGAGCAGATCCGTGACTTGCAATTCGATGGTACTCGGTTCAAATCGTTGGTTCCCAAAAAAATTTTTTTTTTTTATGATAATTTTTATGTAATAGTTATTCAACAAGAGACAAATTATCATTAAAAAAAAAAAAAATGTTCTCTAGATTGCGAGTTGTATGTGTGAGTCTGTCATACTTCTCAATGTAAGTAATAACTAACTTTAATTATTAATATTTTTTAAACAATTAGTCATCTGCCCACAAAACGGAGTATAGGCGTGTTCAGCTCGACGAGCTCTACAAGCTGGCAAAGTTTCATTAATAAGTGAGTGTAACACTTGGGTAGTTCCCCTTGTTAGAACATTAGAAACAATCGTATTATTAACGTAGTGCTTCAGTTTGATATTCTACTTTTTGACATAGTTATTTCAAATGATTCAGAACTACCTTTATGTTTTCGTTTCTCAATTGTTTGAGTAAAATAAAGTAGTAATATTAGAGCCTTTTCACATTACCCGGTTTTCGTCGACTGGTTGAAAATGAATGTATATATTTATATATGTATATACATGAATGAATAAATATACCAGCCGGAAATTGGCAAACGCTGAAAAACAATTCCACGAAAATTGGATGGCGAAAACATGAAAATATGAAAAGACTCTTAGTTAGACACCGGTGAACGCGTTAGATTCCATCACAGAGCGCTACAAATGTATTTCTTCCTATTTCTGTCACACTAACTATGAAACTTTGAACAAGAATATTCAACACGTTCAAGTGAAAGCTATCTAATCGCCAATCGCACAGAAATAAAAAAAAGAGAGAAGAAGCTAAATTTATTTTATTCTAATGTGTAATAGAGGTACGTCATACCAAGAACAAGAGCGAAGAGAACAAGCGTTTAAATCTTTCCTCCAGATACTGGAACCATTAAAAATGTGATTCGTGTTTACTTTCCTTTAATCTATCTGCGCATATTATAGAAGGAAAATATTTATTGTAACTGTATTAACGCGATCCGATCCCTGAACGAAACCGATTAGTTCAGCACTGGTCAAGTTCGGTGTTTATCGAATTTAGTCTTTAAACAAACTGACTTCAATAAAAGACGCGTGGAACAGTATTTTCTCGCTCTTATGTTCTCACACATACATATATATGTGGACGTATATATGTAGAACAAGCACCAACCAATGAATCAGAATCTGAGGGTAGTAGCTTGCACTTCGACCCCAAAAAAGATAGCGAATTCCAACTGACGATAACATGCTAACGCAGTCGCATAGGGACACGCGAATACACTCGTTTAAACAGATACAAATATGTAAATATTACAATGTTTATCAAAATTTCCTCTCGTTTTTGCTCGAGCGAAAACGTGGTAAGAATAAAAAATACTTATCTGCATGACCTAACACAATCTTCCGAGGGGAACTACCAAAGTGTTACGCTCACTTATTAATGAAACTTTGCCACCTTGTACAGCTCGTCGAGCTGAACACGCCTATACCCTATTTTGCGGGCAGACGGCTAATTGTTAAAATAAAACGCGTGTAAATTTCGAATGCGGTAAGCATGGTAATGTACGTACTGGATAGAAAACATAACTTAAATGCTATAAAAACTGCAGCATATGTAACTAATTATTAATAAATGCAATGATTTATTATAGCACAGCTATAATAGTTATTAAAAAAGAGACAAATCATTTTAAAAAAAAGAAATGAAATGTTGGGATTTGAACCTTAGACCTTGAGATTGCGAGTCACTGGTAAGTAATAAAAAGTAAATCTACATATTCCGTGTAAGCACGTGTAAAATATGAAAATCAGGGGTCGAAGTACACGGTGATGATAGTTAAAGGATAAGGTGTTCGACAACAGGTGGGCAAACTTTTAAGGGGTGATTCTAGGGATCAAAATAAGACGAACATCAAGAATAACGAAATTCGGGTTCGATTCTTGGTTATGACTGTACCGACCCCTGCTGATCTGACATTCAGTCGCCAGTGCTGGGCGAATTGCAGGTTTCAGGCGCTTTTTACTCGAATTTTTAAACGTTAATTACTGGAAAACAAAGCCGCAAACGCTATTTCGTTATTCTTGATTTTCGTCTTATTTTGATCCCTAGAATCACCCCTTAAAATTTTGCCCACCTGTTGTCGAACACCCTGTATAATTATCCTTTGACTATCACCGTGTACTCCGACCCCTGATTTTAATATTTTACACGTGCTTACACGGAATATGTAGATTTACTTTTTATTACTTACCAGTGTTTTTGTTAACTTTGTATATAGTAATTACAAATTTATAATTCTATGTAATACCAACAATCAACGTCGGATTAAAGTGAGGTCTAAGGGCTCTGAGGGGTAGGTTTAAGAGATATAAAGGGAAGATTTCACTTTGCAACAGCCCCCCTTATAAGTCTTCCATTTACTATGTCAAAGAATACCGAATGAAATTCTTTCATTATTGCCCTTTTTCTTTACTAGTAAATATAATTTAAAATAAATTTCAATTTTTGAACCAAGTTTATCAGTCAAGGGGGCCGTTGAATATGTGATAGTCTCAGGACCCCAGAAATATACAGACAGAATTCGGAGCAGATGAAAATTTAAAAATAAAAAAGTATTTACATACAGTTGATATTTCGCAAACTTCAAATCCAATCTTTTGTAACACAATCAATGATGCAAGTAAACAACACTCGTTAATATTAGTAAGAATTTCTGAAACATTTCCGTGATAAAGAATGTAACAAAAAGTACAAAAGTAATTTTATGTTTTATATTTCATAAATTGATAACCTTGATATAGCTATTGCCTCGATTTATCACCAATTAATTTGAGCGATAATCATTAAAAATGTAATTTATTATGTACACGTATTTTTCTGTGACCCGTACCTAATTACTTAACGCTTTTTTAAATTCTTCACCTAAAAAATCCTTATTTATTGAAAAAGAATTATAATAATTATTAATATGTACCTTTAATAAATGCATATGTATATCTTTAGACCTTCACTCTATCTACATTCTCAGTTCTATTTATTTAAAATTTGATCGAATTCTTATTTAAAATTACTCTTCTCAACAAGCAAGAAAATAATCAGAAACGATGGAGCAGTTTTTACTGGTTCTTTAAATGAGAATCACTTCTTCGTTGCTTTCATATAGCAGTTATCAAACATCTTGCATAATCTAAGGGAAAAATAATTCTTTCGTTTACACACATTCATTTTCAGTGGAATATTACAGTCACGTTATCTACTTACATTTATAATCACTAAGGAAACGATCATTTACAAGTAATTAATTTACACCTTGTACGTACATATAAAAATATAAGTACTTACCTACCCAATTTTATAACCGTAAATACATATCTATTTACTAACAAGGAACAATTTATGAATATTCATAAAAATTCCCAATAATAATAATCTTTATTTTTGTATAAAAGAAGAATAAATATAATATCTACATATACTGTAATTAAAATAAATCAATCCAATTTTATTTATTTTTTACTGCAGGTACTAGAATGGAAATTATTTTCTACCAATAAAAAGATCATGCAGCCAAGATTCATGCCTACAATTGAAGAGGCAATACAAAATTACATTAAGCACAACTACCAAATTTTTCTATTTAATTTAATTTAAGGTAGGACCATCGATGACATTATAATATGTACTTATAAATACTTACATATATACAAAACTACTTCAATGTTTCTAAATACTCATATACATACAATTCGAACCAGCACCAGATTAAGATGAGGTTTAAGGGGGGCTGCAGCCAGCAAGGGTGCACTCAGCTCCACCCACTCTCCAGGGCCCCATTATAAGCCTACTGAATTAAATTCCTTTTTACTCTTGTTACTCTTGCTCTTTTTCTTTACGATATTATTTAATCTTATTTAAAGTAAATTTCAATTTTTGAACCAAGTTTATTTCTGGATGGGCCCCAAAAATCTTAATCTGGTCCTGATTCTAACATATACTAAATATATTCTATCAAAAATACCTTAACTATATTTCAATACTTTTTCTAATGCTCTTTGAAGAAATTTTAAAAGATATAAATACTTACACACAGGAAATAAACAATTCAAGGAAAACATCTTATGTAACGATTATGGGGAAATATTAGATGATCAATATTTCGAATAATATTTCTGATAACAGGAAAATTACTATCACCAAAAATAGCAGTATATCGTGTTTCGAATTCTCGATATATAATGGGTGATGAAATTATTAGAGCCACTTACATAAACTGATGATTTTACATAAAAATGATTAATTCTTAAATAAAAACTGAGTTAAACAGAGTTTTTGTTACTTTTTTATGATGTATTGATGCTTGTAAAGTTATGATACACAGTTGAAAAAAGTGAAAGTTCTTGGGCCTGGGAATTCTCTGGACCTCAACCCCATCGAAAATTTATAGGAACATTTAATATTAATAATGAATGCCAATTGATTGAACATCTGATAAAGCAATCAAAATGAATTACTTAAAATGCATCGAAGGTACGCCGAAAAGCATTGAGGCAGTAATTGCAGCAAGAGGCGACTTTACGAAATACTAACATACATGTGTAAATATAATCTTTTAAATGTATTTATTTATTTTTATAAATATTTTTTTGTATATTAATAGTGGAGAATTATTGATTAAAAGTTACACAATGTAAAAACCTTAAAATTGTGGCTCTATTTCTACAGAAACACGAAAAACCCATTTTTCATACCATGGCTCTAATAATTTCATCACCCACTGTATGTATCTGAAACAGTAAGAAAATATTTCTGTAACTTAGTTTCTACTCCAACTCGTTAAATCTGGAACATCCAATTGCCGGGAACGTTTATGGAAACCGGGTCGTCGTGACCGGTATCAGTGTACTCAATTTCCATTCGATTATGTCACGAGTTAGAAGAAATTCCCGCATGATTCTCCCTGACTTTGTTATCCGATCAGTTACCTAAGCATCTTTCAATATTTCTCAAGAATCTTTCGCTGCTTTGCGAATGGGGATCCGCTTATATGCCCGACACCCCTGTCCTGTTCTTTAGAAATTCGCGTTCTCGGTGTTTCGAAGGACGAAACTTTAGCATAAGTACTTTTACAGCCGTCTGCTACGTTAGAAATGTGACACATCAAATGAACCTTCTCAGAATGAGCACGCAGGCAATTATCGAGACTAAGCTCAATTCGGAATTTTTCGTGCAACCGGAGAGCACAGGTGCTTTTGAAGTGATTGTGTTTTGTAAGTTTGGAAAAACACCACGTGGGATGTTCGTGGTTGGAGGTGGGTTCATCGAACAGACGGTGCCTTCTATGGCGTTTTTGGTAGAGCCTCTGAGAATTCGGAAGTTGTAGTCTTCGGGGTCTAAGCGGAGGTACATGAATGTAGGCAGACGGTCCGACAGCACCCAAATATTGCCATTTTGGTCAATCTAAAAGAAAAAAGAAAGTGTCAATCGAAGGATGTCCATTGGCGTAACTTAGACCTTCTTCCGGAATGGGTGAGAGTCTTTAGAAATTTTGGAATTCTGAGATTTTGAAGATTTGTAATTTTATAATTTTGAAATGTAGAAAATCTGAAATTTTTTAATCTTAAAATTAAAAAATGGTGATGGACTAGGCCCACCTTGGACCCTAGCTAATTACGCCAATGAAGATGTTGTCACTTAAATGTCGCAACACGAATACTGCTTGCTACTATACCTGTGGAGGCATACAAACCTTTAAATCATTTGGAAAGATCATTGTAACGTTATCCATGTAAATGAAATCTTGTTGCTGGATCATGAACGTATTTTGGGGTCTCCAGCAGGCGATAGCGTTCTTGTTGGTCAATGCATAGAAAAGAACACCCGTATTTGGGTCCAAAAAGCTGACGCTGCTTTGACCATTCGGTCCTCGAGATCCTAGAGCATAGAACTCGTGGAAATATTCTGAAATTCATTATAAAAACACTGAATGCAGTTTTCCATATTGTGCGCTATAAGAATGGTATAAACGAAGTGGTTATATTAGTCACCCGAAGAAGTGGCACGTTGAGGATCTCTAAGCAGCTTAGTACTGACTGAGAACTCCATGCTACTGGATAATGGATGGAAATACATGGTACTGTATCCATCACCTGTGGGTGCGAGGCTCATACCGAACAACCCATCCGTCCATTGAAACGAGATCCCTGATACATTGAACTCTCCACCCTACGTAAAAAGAAAAGGAAGAGCTTGTTGGGTTGTACAATTTCTTTGTTAATAAGTACTTAGATGACTCGATGCCACATAGAATTTCAGAATCTTAGAATTTTAGAATCTTAAAATCTTAGGATCTTAAGATTTTAAAATCTTAGAACTCGTTTTTAGGGTCCAAGCTCCTCTTGGCCGCTACCTAATTACGCCACTGATCTTTTAGATCTTTATTCATTTTTAATGCTATTAATATTTAAATTAAAAAATTGTAAATTTCCTATTATTCCGAAGATATTAACCTGAGGATCAGGATGGAAGAAATGATGTTTGACGAGCCACGATTTACCCATCTTCCATGAATAAACTACGAGCCCTGGTCCACCCAGATCGCCTAGGTAAGCATAAGCGTCCTCGCAAGAATAATCTTCGATAGCGATATTGGCGAAAAGAGAATCAGGTGTTCTTTGATCCTCTGGAATAACGAATTTTCGTAACAATCGATCGGTCGTTAGATCGTATACGAGCAACGCCGGTGATGATTGTTGTTCCGGACTATCTAAAATATCGGTGAATCCCGTGTCGAGGACCCACAGTCTTTCGCAACGATCTGCGCGAATTCGAAATGTGGAAATGATCTCTGGTACATTTTCATCCTTGTATTGGTGCGCTTCCCACGAAGGGTAAGGAATCAAAGTAGGAGATTCACGAGTATCTGAAACAATTTTATCGTTAATAGGCGTTAGTATACAGCAGAGACGGATTGGCCATCGGGAGTTCGGGAATTTCAGGCTTAATTAATTATAATTAGAGCCCGTAATGTCATTAATCTCCCCGTTCACCCCTAGTAGCCAGGATCGGTTTAACCGACGCGACGGTGCAACAGGTGCACTTGCACGGAATGGATAAATTCCTAGGGACGGCTCTATTAGCAGATATTAATAACAATTATCATTTAATAATTACTTTAGTTTAGCTACGTAGATAAGTTACCCGTACATGTACTACGGTAAAATAGCGGTAAACACAAGATTACGTAACAAGTTGGTAGTTGCTAATCGAGCATATCGCAAAAACACTTTCGAAAGTCACGGAACTAATCGAGAGTGTAAAATCTAGTTTGAGAACAGGAAACCACAAAACTTGTGGGCAGATATCGGATACGTATAGATAATTCACCGTAGCGATAAATAATACACTAACCATTAATGTAGAAATAATTTAAACTGGCTGCAACTCCGAGCCTCCATCTCGGAACGGTGACAAAAATCCTGTTACTAGTAATTTCGAGGCCAAGGGGTAGGTTGTCCTCTTGCTTGTATCCTGGAAACAGCTGCTTGGTATTGTTGCTCGGCCATTCGTATTCGAGTTGCTTCCATTGAAAAGCAACCCTCAGCTTGTCGTCGGCAACGACGATTTTCCAAAGACAAAAGCAAAGAAAGATATTCAGGAATAGGAATGTCGAGCTGGTCTGCATTTTTCTGTACTTCTTTCCTGTATTTTATCTTCTTCCCTTGCACCTTGATGCTACAAATATCATTTACCAGTAGACTTTAATTAATCATCGCGATCGAAGAGTAATTACATAATTATCTTAAATGATTATATAAAGTATTTACATGTTTGTAACTAATTGTAAGTACACAACTATACATATAAGTACAAAAAAAAAGAAGAAAAAAAATTCTTCATAGATGCGTGCAGGTTGAAATGACACGCGACTAATGAATGGGCGTTAATTGGCGACAGATTGCCGTAAGCTGTAGGTCGTAGACCTTAAAAGGCCTACAGGTACTTACACGTGTAGAGCTACGCAGCCAGACAGAGTGGATACCATCAAAAATATGTTTAATGTATTAAAATTGACATTATTAAAAGTAAAATTGAAAATATTTCAGCCGTTTCAATTGATATTAAAATCTAAGGAATTGTAAGCAAAGAATTATTAGTACAACGCCATTTTGTGTCGGGGGTGGCAATGCCTGTCTTTGTCCCACCATTTACTATCTTTGCCTGCTACCTCCTCGCATTATGCTAACTTGGTACCAGCAGAACAACCGAGAATAAATACTGTATACACTAGGTGTCACAGATCAAAATTTTTATCAGCAATTCTATGTATTGAACAAAATTTTCCTTTTATCTCTTTTTTATTTTATTTACAATTAAACCCTTGCTTCCATTTGTAAAATGACTCTGTACATGATGCGAGTTAAATAAAGCATCTGATTCATACGTACACGCGCCTGTTCTTATACGCAGTGATGTGTAAACTTATGCAAATTACTTCCTTGATCGTTGCATTTAATTGTATGCATAATTGCTTTTCAGTGTTATGTTGTTGACAGAGATACGTAAGAGACCGAGCTCCGTACATGCTTAAACTGAAATCAGACTACCTCGTAATTGATGTGAGTTATAAGGAACGGTGGTTGACTGTGATTTTTCGTATTTTACGAGACTCGTTATAAAAAGACCGCGTTAAAAATTAAACTTAAGTAGGAAGTGTTTACGCGGATTAAACACAATGCCTGAGAATTTTTCAATGGTATTTACTAATGCTTCGTCCACGGAGAAAGAAATCTTTCGTTTTTGATGCAACACCCGGTGACGCAACGTCACACGAAAGGTGCGAGGGAATTTCTCAACCAATTGTTACAATACGATATCGCGTAAATCGGAATTGTTCTTAACACATTTGGATCTGCTCAAATTAATGCATTTTCACAACAGAATACACTGTTGAACCTTAATTACGAATTACTTAAACCAGATTAATTATGAAAGATGTATACAATGAAAGATGCATCGATACAAAAGTTGAAGGATAAAAGTAATTAAAAATAAAAAATATATATATATCGCTGGTTTGTTTCATAAAATATTTGAAAGAAAGAGGTAGTTCCATTTGTGATTAAATATTATTTAATGTTATTTAAAATAAATATCAATTTTTGAACCAAGGATGCCCCTCTAGGTTTTACAGCCCTGAACCTCAGAAATTTAAATCCGGTCTTGAAGTTAATTATTCATGTACAAAGCTTTTGTTTTTATAAGCGAGAAGAATAAGATGGAAAAGTCTAATGGCATTACTTAATGATGACACCCGGATCTTTAACTCTTTTGAGAAATATTATAAATCTTTACTGTCTACCATTATAGCCCTATTTGTATCAAGAATATAATGCAACATGTGCGGAATTAAAAATTACTATAATAATTATGTTTGAACACACATATGCGTCGATCGTCCGCAAAGGGTTAAAGTTGTTTCTTCTGAAAAAAGAAGCTACTTGTATTTAAAAATTAAATTCTAATTCATGTTTCCACCTAAAATCACTTCCTCCAAATTTCTTACATCTCTCCTGAGATTATGCAACTGCTTTCCATATACACCCATGATCACACCTGTATCACACCGTCTAATAGAACTACCTTACACAAACACACTATACAATCTCTATTAGAAATAATAGAGTACTGCCGTACTATCGATACCCTTTAAAGAATCCTAAATATCCTACAGAGAGAAATGTCGCGTGTCTGACAGAAAGGAACGTGCGAATCACTGTATTTACCCGTATGCCAATTGTTTAGGCCGACAAGAGGTTGGTGAAATACAAAAGGAGCGAGCTACTGTCTCGACGAGAACGCACGACAAACTGAGAATTCGTCGGGAAAATGAAAGACGTTCTCCTGGCGGTACCGTTTGGATACCGTTCAAGGCTCCTCGAGTACCGATCCGCTCGGCAGACCAGTTAAAACACCGTGATTCGTCGCGTTCCCCGCTAACTGTGACGTTGTTACGTTGTTACGTAGTGGAATGGAACGACAAAAGTACTGTAGCGCATGAATTGTTCAAAAAGTTCCAGGAATTCTTTCTTCCATCCTCAGGTCATTACTCTTATGCGAACGAGCGTAGAATTTGCAAGGAACAACAGTCTTCTTCATCTTTAATACCAGTCATGTGTGTCTATTTTCAGGTGTCGTTGGTTCAAGAAACCCTCAGTTGAAAGTTAAATAGATACTTACGTTTATTTAGAAAAAATTGTACCTATAATTTGGAAATATACATATATAAATTAACCAATTGATCAACTACACAAGGATTATAGGTGTCCTATGGTCATCCGCTTCGGCTGTGGTTCCGAATGGCCCCACCAAATTTGAGAACTCAGATTCGGTATACAACCTAAATTGACTACAAGAAACCGATTAAAGTTGGTTTCAGAGCTGGATGTCTTACCGTTTTCGAGATATCGTGGTAAGGCTAGGTTACGTTAGATTAGGTTAGATATATGCGCAGTATCGAATAGCGCATAGTCCCAAAATTGTACAAAAATTTCTTACCACGACAATTTATTATATATCAATCAAATTGTACAAAAAACGGTAAGACACCCAACTCTGAAACCAATTTTAATCGGTTTCTGGTAGTCAATTTAGGTTATATGTATACCGAACCTGAACTCTCAATTTTGGTGGGGCCATTCGGAAACTTATCCTCCGTTTCTTCTTTCGAACGCCTTCCAGAATTTCAGCTGTAAACTCTGAACGCCTTCAACTCTGTTTCACTTGTAAACGATTTCGCTTATCTCCGCATCCTATTTTCAAAGACAAGGTACGGTGATTTACAAGGCGTTTTCCATGACTCATTGCGGCTCAAAAAACTCATTGTCAGAGGAAAAAACAGGAAGGAAACTAATGTGCTATACTTACGCGACGTTTTTATCCGTTTTCTGGAATGAACTTTCTAGTCTCCTCTGATATATGCAGGCTGTTAGAGAGAAAAAAACAGTTGGAAGGAAAATTGATGAACCTGCGGCTCATCCTCTAACAATAAGATGTTGCGAAACGTGGCAGAAGATACGACACGGTGGCTTTCTCACGACTAACGAACAGAATAAAAAACTAATATAAAACAGAGCACATAGTGTGGAAGAAAACTTAATTGTAAGCTGATTTATCTGTTGGTTCACTTCCCTTTGACGTAAATTTCAAGTGAAAGTTGTTAGAACGCTGAACCGAAGATTGTATGCAAAATGTCTTTACGGACGATTGTTCTTCTTCGTGAGATCCCCCTGTTATTTGTATTTCGGTCAGACATCGATTTGTATTACAAACTGTCTGATGTTATATAAAAAAAAAAATCAATTTAATTTCATTTATAATATTTATCTAAAAAAGATAAATGAATCTTACTAAAATAATGAATAAGTAGGTATATGTATAATTCCATAATAATCAAAATAAAAAAAAAAATATAAGATAAAAGTAATGTAATTTTGCTTTTCATTTTTTTAAATTAAAATCAAAGGAGATCACACTGTCATCTCTCAAAGATGACTAAAAGCTACTTATTATGTAATGGGTACACCTACATACACCGGCATATTGATTAACGAACATTTATACAAATATATGCAATAGTATTTATAAATGCATAAACTAGTACCGTGGATCGAACACAATTGATCGCAGTACGAATAGCGGATGCTTCTTCGAACAGAAGAGATTTTTATAGCCTTTTCTATCGTGTGATCAGTCTGATAGAACCGCTCCTCTGTTTCTCTTTGAACAGGTTTGACTTTAAGCATCGTGTCGAGCGAGCTGTTGCACGATTTCGAGGTCGATTGGATAGTCCGTATTATGCAGCTTACTTTCACTTTCGTGATCGTGTGACGGTTTTGCATGAAAACGTGGAATGTGCAGTTGCACCGTGCTTTAAATCCGTTAACAGAACCTTTTGTTGCCATTACGATGATTAGCCTCGTTACAACGGCTCCGGTTCGTTAAGTTGTAATTAAATTTCATTGCAAGCAACTCGATGACGAAAATAACGAAATTAAGTTCCGTTACTACCCGTTAGAGGATCCCATTCAACTTGTCATTTCCGCTTCTTCTAACATCTGACACTAATTATTAGATTTTTCTAATTTGACATAACAAAAACGTGTTCCAATTCTGAAAATACACAGTCTATTTTTTTTTCATATTTCCTCAATTACTATCATCATTATGTAAATGTTCACGCATGAAAATGTTAATCAGGCCTGTTTCTCATAGAACACTCTTCATATACAGGGTGTTCCATGCAACTGGGACCAGCTATAACTCTTGAACAGCAAGGTAAAATAAAATGTCATCAGTAAAAATTAAATGGTGTTGAATGAAGTACCACGTGATGTATGTATCGGTACCGAAAATGGAGGCATTTCAAAGATTTCAAAGCCATCTTCATTTTCTTCCTTATTTTTAATGGAATTTTGTACTTTATTATATATCAATCAAAGCGTTTTTTAATTCTCTGCAAGAAAATATGATAGTATTTACGCTGAAAATTTATTGATTTAGAAGATATCTTAGGGAGAGACCATTAGGCTCCCCCTGTTTCCGCCTAAGATATTTTTTTAAATATTCGATTTTCGACCCAAATCCCTTAATAATTTTTTGTAGAGAATAACAATATGCATCGATTTACGCCAAGGAAATTCTAAAATTCTAAAAAAATGTTTTCAAGTTGGAAG